TATATATATATGCTATATTAGTATATCATTGTAAATGAAAATTGAACTTGACTTTTCAAAAATAGATGGTATGTTTATTATTGTTATTATTATACATAACACTGTGTGGGAAGAAAAAATAGGCTATTGATCTATCAGATTCCCTAAGGCCTTTGGATGATAGCAGACCCCAGAGTAAAAGAGACATGAAACCAAAAGTTTTAGATAGGATGATTTCAAAATGTACCAGAGCTATTTGTAATCCTGCTGAGCTGTTTTGTGGAATGTGATTTTGCAAAGTATGTAGTTTTGAAAACCACGAGAAATAGGGAACAGAAAATAGCTGATGGATAGAAGTTTGAGATGTACACGGGTATATGTGGAGATTGTCAGTAAGAAAGAACAGAGAAGTAAGTTGTGAAATGCATGCAGAAAAGTATAACAAGAAAGTCTTGGGATGTGTTCAGGGCCACTGCCATGGCTACTCCTTGCCAGACTCGGCCATGTCAGTGGACCTCATTGCAATGTTGTTTGTAAGTATTATCTTACTGAAAAGTTGTTATGTTGTGATGGCTTTTCATGTTCCAAATTGCTCATGAAATAAACCTCTGATCTCAACATAGGATTTATTGCTTGTGGTTTGTCTGTGTTCCACTTTTATTGAGTTAGTTTTATGACAACTGTGAAATCACTGCTGCAAGTTCTTTAGTGGTGTTGGCCTTCATTCACATCAAATTCTTCCCAAGGATGCTTAATATATCACTGTAATCTATGTGTTGATCGAAGCAGTGTGGCCTTTTGTAACTGACAAATGATTTTTTCCCCAATGCATATATTTTGTAACTAACTGCCATTGAAGACTTTTTGCTATTGCCACATCAACTATCCATACTTTCTTCTTTTCCACCACAGTTAAATCTGGTATATTACATGCCAAAGCACCCACCCTCCTTAACACATTAACAATTGTCAATAAGAAAGCAAAAAAATCTGGATAGTGGAATACCTGGAGACAAGAAAAAAGAAAAGGCAGTTTACACAATCGCCATTCGCTGCATTCTTCCATTTTGTTTTATCTTTTCAAACCATCCTTTATATCAGGAACTCTTGATTAGGACTCCACAATAAATCACAGTAAATCCTAACATTTCATAGCTGAGCTTAACTTTTTGTATTGGCTAAGAATAAACTGGCAGATACAGCTCAGTAAATTCAGAAAATTTATTTTACTGTAGATTAAAATAGTTTTAAGTGCAGCTGTAGGTATACTGTACCCAAGTATTGATTGATCATGGATTTAAACACAAAATTTCCTATACCTGCCTTTCCAAATTAAAATGCAACCATGAAGCTGAATAATAATAATTATTATTATTTTTAAAACAAGTTTTATTTTCAAGACAAACTATACATAGATACACATAAAACAAAACATAAAAGCATAAAAAATCTCTTATCTGAAAGTTGATTAGTCCCGGGTTAAAACTCTTGGTAGAGACACAAATTCAAATTCATATTCATTTTACATACCATTTCATATCTTATTAACATTTTCAGTTTTCTATATGTCTTCTCCTCTCCTTTAAATTTTCTCAATTTTATTTTATTTTATTTATCTCCTCTCAATTCATATCATAATATTTATTATTCTTTGTCTGTTCTATTCCAGCCAGCCCTTTATTTTCCTTCTTTAAAAAAAAGAAAAAACTTCTCCTGTACACTATATGGAGTATGATGCCTTTATCTCTTTCCCCTACATTTATAATACTTAATATAAAACACATGACATATATTGGGATTCTGTCTGGTACATTCTAAAATTATACTATATTATCAAAAATAATACAAATCTATTCATTAGTATTAATATTCATTCATATCTTAAACATTTAAATCATTACTTTTCAATTAAATCACATACTTTTATGGGAGCCCTATTTTCCATAGTTATATATTATATCCCTCATCATATATTATAGCTCATTATTTCATTAAAAAGTACCTCCTTCTTCTACTTCAATTCTCATTTCACAAGAAATTTCGCTAGTATACCATATTCTAATCATTAATATTAACAATCATTTATATCTTAAACATTTTATCCATTTCAATTAAATATCATGCCTTTATGGGAACACTTATGCTTTTCAAAGATTATTACCCCCCCCCCCCCCACATCACAATCTTAAATCATGTTTCGTTACAGTACTCCCTTTTCTTAACCAAAAATTTCACTAATTTATGTTAAATATTTTATCACATTTTAGGTTACATATTGTTTCTAATTTTCTATGTTTACTTCTAAATGCAAGTATAAAAATGCAGTCTTATGTATCTTTCTAGAATCCCTTTAACCATAAAGCTTATCCATTATCTCTAAAAAAAATTTGCTTCTTAACATCTTGCTCCCCACCATTAGGACTTCTCATCCCTTCCTTTCTTTCTTGTTTCTTCTTCTCCTTATCCTCTTTAACCCCTTGTCTCTCCACCTCCCTTTTATTCTGCTTTCCCCCTTTCTGTTGTTTCTTAACATAATGTCCCCTTTTCACCTTATTCTTCTCTTTTTGGGCTATTTTTCCAGATCTTAAAGACCTTTTTCCCTTTTTCTCTTGCTTTTTCTCTTCTCCAGTCAAAGTAATTTGTTCATCAAAGATGGCTTCTCCTTCTTCTTTGTCCCCATCATCCTCATTCTGCTTCACATAAATATAAACCGCCATTTCCAAGTATTGAAAAATAGTGTCAAGACCATCTTCCCCTCCTTGTTTTTCTCTTTCAAATTTTTGATATATAAGTTCCAATTCATCCATAGATGATGCCATTGTGTAGAGAAAAAGTTTTTCCAAACAACCACCCAGATGATTTAATCAGAAGTAATTTCCAAAGGTTCCAAAGTCACCAAACAATCCAAACAGACTATTTCTTTTAGATACCTTCTTCTTCTTCACTTTCTCTTTCTGGGGTTAAAGTAATCACAAATCCTTTTCAAATATATTTTTTGGAAGTTTTTAAACTCTTTGTAATTCTAGGCAATCTTCTTCTTATTTTCAAATTTTGCTCTAATTCTTTTTTTCACTCTCCCTTCCCACTCACAGCCAAAAAGGTGGGTTTTTTTTTCCGCTGTCACTTTAGGAAGGAGAGTAGAACAAAGAAAAAACTTTCCCCTTTAGAATATTCGCAGCTTAAAAACTCTCACAGGGAACAATATATACTTAGCAGCCTTCAAGATTCCAGGTCATTTTCTCCCGTCTTGTCCTGGTTAGAATCAACTTTCACTTTTCTTTCAGCTTCCTCCCTCCTGCACCTGCTTGTCCGGCTGCAGCTTTCTTCGTGGCGGCCATTGCTGACCGCCGTTCCTCCACCTCGGGAAAAGGGGGTTTAGCCGGCTGGGGAGGGGGTTTGCGACACCCCCAAACCCCTTGCCGGATCCCCCCTGTCTTCAGCTGCCTCTGCGGGGCAGCTATATCCCCCAGATCCAAATGGATCGGGGGAACCTTGACGGTGAATGCAGCAGGGATCACGCGGTCGCGAATCCCTGCCGCCGCCGAAAGGTTGCAAACCGGAAGTCCGAAGCTGAATAATTATTGAATGTTTAAATTATGTCCATTTCAAGCCTTGGAAAAGCTAGCTTCCACTTGCCAGATTCCACTCTTATCACTTTTTGCCTCTCTCTCACTCCTCTTCTGAATCTAGTAAATTCCATAATAATTAAATAATTAGCAGAATAACAGAGTTGGAAGGGACCTTGGAGGAGGCAAAAAATGATCAGCTGAGAGGAGAAAGAAGAGAAAAGTGCAGGATTGGCCCTTCCACCTGCCCCTGCGCTTTTCTCTTCTTTATCCTCTCAGCTGATTGGCGCTGCAGGACTCAGCTAGTGTGTGGAAAGCTGTGTGTGCACGTTAGGTCAGGTAGGATCCCACTGCTGCCTTGGAGGTCTTCAAGTCTAATCCCTTGCTCAAGCAGGAAACCCTATACCGTTTCAGACAAATGGCTGTTCTATCTCTTTTTAAAAACATCAATTGATACATCATCCATAACTTCCAGAGGCAAGCCTTTCCATTGATCAATCGTTGTAAATGTCTGGAATTTTGTTCTTAGTTCTAGGTTTTTTTCTCTCCTTGGTTAGTTTCCATCCATGGCTTCTTATTCTGCCTTCAGGTGCTTTGGAGAATAGGTTGATCCCCTCTTCTTTGTCACAGCTCCTTAGATATTGGAACACTACTATCACCTCATCACTAGAATGAATGAATGAATGAATGAATGAATGAATGAATGTACAAAGGATGTAGTTAAGACAGTCTCGGGCTAGGTCATCATTGGAATGGAGTTTGATATCCAGTAATTTAAATACATTTTCCGAAACTATTCTGTGAATCATTAAGAAAACTTTAGAAAACTTGTTGAATTAACAGATGAGTATCTCAGGCCAGAGCCAATGCCACAATAGGAAATGAGGTAAACCATCTTAAAAAGCATATTAATTACAAACAGAAAAGCATTTAAATCTGACACAAGGTAGTTCAGTGTCTGAAAATCTTGTTTAGAAAAAAGAAAAGGTAATGCATCAGTTTAGGTTACTTGCTCATTGAATGGCAACAAGGATGGCATAACAAATAAAATTCATGACATCTGCTATAAAGGAAAGCTAGCAAAAGTCAGGAGGAAAATTTTTGAATACTCCAAATGCTCAATTGGTTGCTTCTCATGACAGAGAAATCATTTTCTTATATACAATTTTCCTAATTCACAACCATTTTATTTCATCTTTCCACCAAGCATTTTTTTAATACTTCCCTTTAATGTGCTTTGGGCTAAACAAATACATTTGCTTGCTTTGTCTACTTTGTTTAATACAAATATATTTTACATTAATATACTTCTGTGGGCTTTTCATAAAAGAATTATTTTTGCTATTTTCCAAGGAACTTCCATTTAATCTTTTCTTAATTTCATTTTCATTCTTTTTCTGTTGAAGGATTCTTCTGTCTTGTAATACTTTAAATATGGATTTTCTCGTTCTGCAATGATGCTATATATCATTCTACTTTTGTTTCATGTCCATTTTCTTCTCAGATCCACTCTTCCTGCTACCAAATAAAAGTCTGATCTGTGTTCAGAACTTCTCATCACTCTTGCAGCCTTTATTAAATCCTTTGATCTTTCATCGTAAACATTAAATCAGCCATGAGGTTAATTCCTGTACATATTAATGCATCAGTAGATAGGCTGAAATCATGATCAAAGCAAACAATTCATTCTTTGTAAAGCTTCACAATTCTTTGTATTTGGAATTAATCATATACCCACTTTCATATATGTAGTTATCAGTTCTGCTCTACAAAAACAAGACAACCATTCAGCTCTATTTCATTTGTCCTCCATCTCTTAAGTTTCAGAAAAAATATTCTATCTCTGTGTCTGTCTAAATTTTATTTCATTTTTATCTCATGTCATTAATTCATTAGTTTTACCATATGTTCCTGTTGCAATCTAAATTGCAGTCGTATGATATTAGCAGATGGGCCAATAAATATTGATTTCCTATGCCCATAAATGGTTCTGCTAACTCAATCTAATGCTTTAAAAAGTTAGCTAGGTTATTAGTTTCAGTTATTCCATGCTACATGAAGCATTCGCTGCTAAGACTCTGTTTTAACACATTTTGGCCAGAATTTACAAGCGTTAACTAAAGCCCAGTTTTATCTCCAGCATGCTTATGTTATTCTGTATACATAAGAATCTTCAATCTAAAGACAACTTTGTAAACTAAGATACCATGATTTCCTCCTCTGCCTTCTGTTGCTCTTATTTTTTTTATAAGCAATTTCATTCTTTTGAGTTTAAAGGCTTATTGCAATTCATATATTTAGCTGGATTTATAATATTGTACCTAACACATTTTTAAAAATAATAAATGCAATACTCATATTTTGGCTCCATGCAAGGAGCTATATTATCTTAGCAAAAGTACTCCAATTATATTAAAATGCAAAGTCTTCTTTTTATTTGTGTTTTGTAGGAGCAAACATTTTATATAAGAAAGTGTGTAAGTTATCGGATATATGTAAAGATTCAGGTTAGTGATTCTTAATTTTTTTACTTATTGTGTTGTTTGGCTTTAATTCTGTTTTAGATTTAAAGGTCCTTCTTGCCTTGCTTCCCTGCACAGAGAATGTAGAAAGGAGGATAATGTGACCATGTGAAATGGTTCTTATAATAATAGACTATATTTCGTCATATAACTAAATCAGGCCAAACGTTCTTTTTTTGCGAAGGACAGAATATCAGTGTATAATCACACAAGGAAGCTAAAGAATAAAAGAGAAAATATATGCTTAATTATTTTTCTACAATATATGCTTTAATTTCTAAACCAAATTATTCCTAATGCAAATGGGTTTTTTTCTCCCTTCCTTTCCAGTTTTCTACATGGGCAGTATGAAATTTCAAATTCATGAAAACAATTCAGATACTTCATATAACCTAACAGTAGTAAGAGTCTTTATTATTGTTGTTATTTTGTGATCAAACTTATGTTTTCTATTAGGGTTATTAACCATTGTCACAATCCTAAGTTGCATAATTAAAAGAGTCACAGTTGACATTAACTGTCTCGGCATAAAGTAAGTGATAAATGGTAGAAAAAGTAAATTTACCTTTGCTTGGTCCCCTGGAATGGAATAATTGCTTTGCATTATAATTTATTCATTCTGTAATTAAAATTTTGTTAGGTTTCATTCACAGTACATTCTTCACTATGAATAGTAATTAATAACCTGTGCCCTATCAGGCCATATTATGTTGCTATACCCATTATATTCTCTGGAGGCAATATATAAAAGCATAATGTATTCATGAGTTCTTTGTTGTTTTTAGAAATATCCTGACAACAACACTAATCTGTACCTGTTAAAAGTTTATTCAACCCAACTACCAGAAATAAAGTGAGTACTTTAAAAATATATATCTTTCTTCCTTGCCACTGTTGCATGCAAGTCATATTTAAAATACTTTTGTTTTTTTAATACTTCTGGAAGAAAAAAAACTGTTTTAATTTTATCACTTCAGGTTTGCTATAATCTATTTATATACTGCCAAATTAATTTTTAAGGCAAACACTTTCATGTCTCTTCAGCACCTTTGTACCATAGGTATAAGATTATTATCCACGTACATTAATTTACTTGCAGTGAAATCAGCAGGGCTAATATGCAACGTTTAGTACAGATATTCACCCTATATTTATATGCATTTGGTTGGTGTGTTGGGCTTTTTCTTCTTGTCTATGTCATTTTTCATTGAATGGTCCTTTTCTAATTTGTTTTGGAATTACTACGCAATGTCTGCATATATAATTCCTAGTACATATTTAGCTTTTTAAAAACTACTTGGTATCCTAGCCTACTTTTCTTAAATCATGGAAAGATGTTACTTTTCCTAAATTTTGGCAATTTGCCCTTATTCCTTACAGCCCAGTAAACAATTGAAATGATAAATGAATTCTTCCTAAAATAATTATTTTTGAAAACCTTATCTTAACCTTAAACAATGTGGTATAGGATCCCGGACTTCAAGTAAAGATATTTTATCCTTTCTTACAAGTTTGTAATAAAAAATAAACAGTTTAATGGAATTCACATTGAAACTAGCACACTTGCCTGGTTGAGGGATGGAACAATGTAAGAGATTTCAAGTAATACTTAAGGAACAATTTCTTCTACTTTCATCAACTGAAGTTGGAGTAATTTGTCATACAGTATCCACAATAAAAATTAGACGCTTTGGTTTTGATCTCTAAATAGGCAAATATCCCCATTCACAAGTGAAAGATGTAAGGATAGTTAAATAACTATTTACATTGTATATTTGTTTTTTCTGATTGATCCCCTTTGTCTATAATCACATGTTCCTTTTTTCAAACCAGGAGGGGCAGTAATTTAAAGTCTCCCTGACAGATAATTCCAGTAATATACCACTGGTTAGACTAAATCTCCTGTTGCCTCTTAGCCTCTCCAGCTTTTCTATGTGGATTTCTGACTTTAGCCCAGCACCAGGCAAACTAAGCAAAAAGATCTCTGGATTTAATTGCCCCAGCACAGAATTATAGAACGCAACAAATGCTGCATCAACTCAAGATCAAGAGATGCTGGCTCTAAACTCAGATGGAATCTAAAGTTTCCTGTGGAACAATACAGAAATATGATGTTGGTTCCCCAGCCCTCCCTCGTGACCAGTCCATCTTTAGCCAATGCAACATTGCCGAGATGTTTTGGGAAACGCTGAGGTATTTAGGCTGGTGAAATTCCACACTCAGGGCAAGGCCTCCATGAGTTGGCAAGGACCAGATTCCAAACTGCTCTGCTCTTCTTCAACTGTTCCCACTTCCCTAATTCGCACCACAGAGCCATACAGATGTATTGCCCGTGTTCCCCCTCCCTTCTCCATTGCTTTGATGTCAGAATGCCAGCAAGGTGCCAAGCCGAAGATGGTGGATCTGACAGAGACCTCTTAAGAAAATGAAAACTGATTTCTCCCTATTGAGGCGTCTCAGCATTTAATCAGTTTATCTGATGCTTTGGGCTATAGTACTATAGAATGACAAGTGAATGGCTGTCACTAGCCCCAATAAATTTAAATATATATATATAGTTTTATATTATATTTATAGAACAAAGCATGCATACTTATTGTTTCAGGACTCATATATCTTGTAGATTGTGTTGACATGCAGATGGGAGAGTGGAATTATGTGGAATTAGTGGCACAAGATTTTGCCCTTGATGATTATAAATATTGATAGTGTTTAAATTAATTGTTGTAGGTTGCTTTCTTACAATATACATACACAATTGTGCTTGTTGGAATTATCATTCTGTAAGTGGAACTTCACTTGCCCAGTGATTTCCACCCCCCAGACGCCATACAGTTCCTGGCTATGGAGAATGGGGATATTCCTAGGATTGGATGAGATGTGGGGGTGGAAAGACTGCTGTCAAGATATTCCAACTGACAACCCAACCCAGCAAGCATTGATGAGATGATCCAATCTCTCAATGCAAAGCTTTATTGAGTAGATCATTTTGGCACAGCATGAAAGTGAAACCAGCTCTGAGGAATTCCCAGGCAATTCAGTATAATTAAAGTATAGAATCCTCCCTCCCCCTATTAGTGTAGGTCACATTATCCAATGGGGTGTCCATCCAGGTGGTGTTGTGAAAAGTTCTGGTGAACTCAGGTTGAAATGTGTTTGTTCTCTTGAGACCGCTTCTTGTTATCCTCTGGAACGCACATTCCAATCTCTTCCTCCCTTCCCCTTGGTCTGTTGGCAAACTGCAAGGCAGTGAAAATGCAAGCAGTTTAAATACACTTTGAAGCTTGACAACTGCATGTTCAGAGAAATTGGTGGAACTTAATTGGCTGCCACCTGCTTCCTAATGAAAATGAAACCTGTAACTTTTAATTAAGCAACTAAAAATGTCTTTTAGTATTTCAGATTTCAATAAAACACTTCAACAGCTAAGTCAGGTAAGTAATCTATAACATAATACTTTAGTTATATGGACAGATGTAAATATTTTTTTCATTACAGCTACTCCTCAACTTGACCCCAAAATTTCTGTTGCCAGTGAGTCAGTTGTTAAGTGAATGTTGCCCTATTTTATGGCCTTTCTTGCCACAGTTAAGTGAATCCCTGCAGTTGTTAAGTTAGTAACATGGTTGTTAAGTGAATCTGGCTTCCCCACTGGCACAAAAGGTGATCACATGATCCCAGGACACAAAAGGTGATCACATGATTCTGGAACACTGCAACCATCATAAATATGAGTCACTTGCCAAGTATTTGATCATGTGACCACAGGGATGCTGCAATGGTTGTAAGTGTGAAAAACACTCATAAGTCACTCTTTCAGTGATGTTGTACCTTTGAATGGTCACTAAATGAACGGTTGTAAGTTGAGACAGAATGCCTGTCTCAGTGGGGCCAAATAATTTATTTTCATTTTATTTTGTTCTCTTATAGTCATCTCTCATGCAGTGTAATGAAATAAACCAGAGGTTTGTATTATTACGTTTCTCAAATATTATTGCATTATTTGTATTAAGAATATTGGAACTTTTAATCAGAAGCAGTATACTAATAGTTTCCATCCTTTAAAAAATCCTAAGCTTTTTTCCTTTTCTTTGCAGTATAGTCAACTGTATTTTTATAATAGAACTGGAGAAAGGAATTAATATAAGCAACATAATATCAGAGTTAGAAGAAAAAGCAGAACTGAATCTAATTGGTAAGAAAATTATGAATAGAATTTTGCTATAGAGCTACTTGGTAACAATGTGCTTGTTTTATCTGTCCCTCTTTGAAACTAAGATGATGAAAAAAGATACCAGAAGTCTCCAAACACAGGATTTTTATTTCAAGATTGTATATTCTATCACATAATTTTTGAGTTCTTTTAGTTATGAATTTCATTTTAAAATATAAAAACTATTGTTTCCTTGCATGATGCATTGCACAGATATTTGTGGTGCTGTTTAGTAGTTCTGTGTAAATAGTTCAGCAAAGCACAGCATTTGTGGGCAAAGATACCTAGCTGTTTGAAGGAGTTTTGGAGCAGCTGGGCCAAGCCTTCAAATGACTGTAATCTTTCATGCTTGCAAAGAGTGAATCCAAAGGGGTGCTTTGTTTGTTGAATGATTTGCACAGGCCTACTCTTTAGTGAGAAATTTGTTTTATTCAGACATGACACCAACTGAAATATTCCCTCTTTGAACTCCCCTGGAAACAGAGATAACTCCATTGTACATTGACACCATTTGAATAATGTCATATTCTGAAGACTCCAGCAGGTTCAGTACAGATGACAGCAGGATAAAGGTCTTCGTGTGTACTACAGTACACACAAGGTATTAGAGCCTTGAGTGAAATGGAAGACAGCCCATTAACTGCTGAGAGTTTCCTCTTGCAAACCTGTCCATTAAACATGTGGATTGGATCGCTACATGATGGCAACATCATTTGATTCATCTGTGAAGAGTAACTTTATTATGAGTACTGATGTACTGTTTATTATGATGTTACAGTAGACACAGTAAATAACAATGATGTTAATTGCATACTGCAGATATCACAAGCTAACGTAAAGTGAAAGCTAATCTTATCAATAGTTATTAGATATTACAGCTATCTAAGTTTAAGTGAGGAATATCAGTGTGAAGTTTCATGAAATAGTGATTGCATAATGAACCTACGTAAGACTAACACTTTATAGGACAAACAGAACTTAGTCCATCAAAGGATTTAATAGTCTTTACAACAATATAATAATTAATACTAATATATAAGTGCATATAATCCTTTGTTGTTTACAGAATCATGCTGCTGTTTAATGCAGCCATTTTCTTGTCCAAATGCCCAAGAGTTGCATCGTTTTCAGTGGTAAGTGTAACCTGCTTCATTTAGAAAGTTTGAAGTTTACTTGTCATGCTCCTTATTTGGTGCACCATAATTCTCAGCATTGAGAGGGGGGGGGGATAGAAAAAGGAACATACCATAAAGTCTTACAAACTGATGATGGGACAAAGGTGAGATAATTTCTTGTCCAACAGACAGTCCAATGTAACTGCTATTCTAAGATAAAATTAAGCATTTAATAGTTGATTGCAGATTTAACATAATTTTAAAAATGCATATGAGAGGAATTAGTATGATAGAATATTTTGCAAGTTTTAATACCAATAGAATACATGTAGCTTATGATTGAATAGTAAAGAGCTTGTTGCTTCTCTGAGCTTTGTTATTTGCAAACAAACATTTCATTACCAGACTAGGTGACATATTCAGTGCTAGAAAGGAGTGGGGTTTACTCTCTGTTTATATAAAGCAGCTTGTTCTGTCATTGTTAATGGAAGTGTTTTTTCCTTGATTAGGCTGTTGGCTACTGCTTACTTGTCTGAATTGGTAGTTCTTTTATTAAGTTATTGTTTATTGCCAGATTGTTTATCTGGTGTTAATTCCTGCTTATCTGAGTATTGATTGCACAGCAAGGAAATGTTTTAGTCTTGTTGTTTCCTGTACATGCCACTTGGGACAATAGAAAAGTTAAAACCTTTAGTATATATTTTCTGAACAAACTCCTTGACGTAAGAACTGATGATTAAATATGCAAAATAGGCTTGTAAATTATTTTAATGATAAAAGTATTATTAATTTTAGAAGGCTGCCCAACTCCATAACACTGTGCAGTATTCATGAAAAATAGTTAAAATAATAAAAGCAGAAAACAAATATATTAATCAAATTCATTATTCTTTGAAGAGATGGGGCAGATAGATTTGGATTTTTTTTCATCCCTTTAAAAGTATAAGCTGTAACTAAATCGATGGTGATATTCTGTTTTTCTTATAGTGATATTCATGAACCAGTTGGCTGTAGTGGTCATAGTACTCCTGACTCTCCAGTTACATCTGTAGGTCCTTTCTCTTTTACAATGCAGCCTGAAGACTTTTCCCCTGAATTGTCCTCTGAATCAACAACTGTTTTGCCACCTCCTTTCACTGAGCCCGCAACAATAAATATTTCTACTATAAATGCTACTCATAATCCTTTCACTGAGCTTTCTTCTGGATTTCCTACAAAGTCAACCAATATATTTGTTCCTTCAACCTTGGTTGAAACAATTAATTCAGATTTTACAAACCATTCTACCCATCCTATTAGTACTTTTCCAGAGGTACATCCCACAGCATCTACAATATCTAATGCTCAGCATACAACATCGATTTCTTCAGCCATCATGTCCATGTCTTCTTCTATGATCTACACTAATGATATTGGAGGACCAAGTAAAAAAACCACAGGTAACATTGATTTAGATGGATCTTCTGTTGTGACCCTGATATATGCATGTAGTTTGATGAATATGTGGAAGTACGAGGGTTGTGCATGCTTCAGAAATGCAAGTGTTTTTGATTTCACACAACAGTTCAAAAACAGACCAATTTTTTTTCAGGCTTTCTGAAAAACTTTAGATAGTGGTACATTTTTTTAAGGCTCATGTCAAGTTGTTTTAATGAATGCTGGAGATGCTCTCCTTGTGTAAGGTCAGAAAGAATTCTTCCAAGTTTTTTTTAATTTTTAATTAATTTATTTATTTTATAAATAAAATAAATAAAAAAGAAAAGAAATAGAAAAGAAATGGGGCAACATTGCCCAAGTGTGCGGTCATTAGCTATATGCTCACTTTAGAGAAAGCATTAATCTCTGATTTCAGCAGGAAAAGTACTTCACTGAACTGTCCCCATTTCTGCTTGAGGAAGCTTCCAAATCAAAATGGATGTTATCTTTTGTCCCCTGTTTCTGTCCTCCATCCATTGGTGATTTATTCAGTGAGCTGATTTTGACCTCCAATGCACTCATGCCACAAAAGATAAAGGTGCATCAGATTCTACTGTGAATTAAAAGGCATTCAAAGGACTGCATAAATAAACAAAACTTCTATAAAGCTTTGAAGCTTCTTAATGGTATTTTGTCCATGCAAGTTTACTCCAATTAAGGAAACAAAAAAACCACAAATATGAAGTATTTCATTTTCCCGATTTTCAGTTTTGTTTAAATTTTGCAGAACAAATCTCTCATAATAATTCAAGCATTACCAATAGTACTGATGCCTCCAATGTCAGCAGCATTGTTTCAGAGCTTGAAAGCTACTTAACTGCAGAAACAATAGCACCATCTCTTGGACAGTCGATGCTGGAAAGAGTTAGCTTCCTTCTAAGCATGCCCCAATCACAAATATATCCAATGTCTAAAAGGTATGTGTTTGTAATGTAAGAAACATATTTCTGTATAAAATATTTTTTCTTGAAATGAATTGTGTTTACAGATATCCTATGATTCTTTTTAAAGTCTTTGAAATGTAATTTTTCATACTTGTTTTCCAAATATATTTCACATCATCCTCTTGAGATGGTATAGATAAAAAACTATATTTCTCTCAAGAAATTTTCTTTATCAACATGTTTGTACTTTAATGTAATTCAACTGAGAAAAGTTTTCATGAAATTATTGTATTTTTAAAAATTGATAACAAAAATCACACAAGTAATTATCTATATTACTATCTCAATAGAATAATAAAAATAGTGGATGTGATTGGATTAAAATTGAAATTCTCAACAACATCCATTAATCTTACCACTCCTACTTTGGCTCTGGCTGTCATGAAAGTCAACAGTAGCTCTTTTAGCAAAGTTTCTTTTGCTGTTCAACATTCCTCAGATCTTGAGGTAAGCATTTTTTTTTCATTTTTTAAAATGTCCTTTGGGCTTTAAGTAAAACTCTTTAAAATACAAGATTGAGTATAGAATTTGTTAGTAAATCCAAAGTCCCCAAAGCTAAAGAGGTATCAGAAGAGCGGCTAAATAGAACTCTGGTTTACATTTTTGCTCATTTTTAATTAGGCATGTATTTTATGCAAGTCTCCTCAAAAACAAACCACATCAAATTAAGTTGGTTTTTAAATAATTAAAAATTAAAAGTATAGGATCTGCACATTGTATGACTTGATGCAGACAGGTGTATTGGTGTACTTTATTGTGAATACATCCTGTGTATCTATTTAACTAGCCCCAGCTGGGTTTTTCTTTTCAAAGAATGTAATACAGGTAGCCCTCAACTTATGACTATAATTGAGCCCAGAATTACAATTATAACTCATGCTGGTCGTCAAGTAGGTCATGACCATGCCTGACTACAATCTTATTTGCAGTGGTTAAGCAAATGCCATAGTCATCAAATAAATGCAAAGGTCATTAAGCAAAATTTATGCCATTAAGTGAAAGCAAATACCAGTTTCCAGCAAAAAAAACAATCACGGTCATGTGATTGTGAGACATTGCAGAGCATTGTAAATACAGGCCACTTGCTGAATGCTAAAAATGCAGTCACATAACTACCTGGGCATGGTAATTGAAATTTCAAATCTGGGTCATAGGTACTTTTTTTGGAGGTTAATTGTAACTTTGAATGGTTACTAATGTAATGGTGCACTTTTTGTTTTCTGTGAAAAGTAGCAATAAGTATAATATGTAAACTTCTAAATCTGAAAAATCTATGATATGTTTTAATTGCTGCTAGGAAGGAAGTGGAGAGAGAAGCATAGTTAATCACTTTGCAAGAGGAAACAAATTTTCATGAGCCAATTCAGTCTAGTAGTTAAGACATCAGGCCAGAAACCATGAGACCATGAGTTCTAGTCCAGCCCATGAAAGGTGATTTTCTCTAACTTTCTCTTTAGCACTCCCCGCCCCTCCAGGCTTGTAATGGAATAATATGAGGAAGAAAGAATATTATGTATGTTCCCCACCTTGAGTTTTTTTATAAATGATAATAAAGATGGGATAAAAATAAGTACAATTATGTACCTGCTTTTCAGGCCTCAAGAATGGATGCTATTGCATTAATGTTCATCTATTATACATAGCACAAAGCATACAGATTATCTATTTTTTGGAAACAATGTCTTTTTTTTTAAAGGTTACCCTTGGAATTGAAGTGCCATCAAAGATTATTGGATCCATTACACTTCCATCATCAATAATGGAAGAATTGTCACCTCAAGATAAGCATATAGCTTCTAGAATTACATTTAATTTTTTTAAAAAAACAACTCTATTCCAGGTACTTTTATAGTTTCAAAGCATGCTTGAAATTTTTAAATATAATCTATTGTTTCTACCAAGCAACATTATTATACTTAATAAGAATATACATGGTTGCATTTCACAGGATTCTACACTGAAAAATTTGTCTTTGTTCAGCTATGTTATATCATCAAGTATTGCTAACCTTTCAGTCAACAACTTGAAGACAAATGTGACTGTCACGCTACAAAATATCAGGCCTAATCAGGTACCAATTTGCACACTATATTTTATTTACTTATGCTTCATTTCAGAAATTAATCATTTTAACTATCTGAATACTTAGATATTTTTATTAATATAGCTGTAATATTGTGTACAATTTACCTCCTAATTATCATACGTTTTTATTATAATACAGGCCAGGGGTGGGATTCAATTTTTTTAACAACTGGTTATGTGGGCGTGGCTAAGTTGGTGGGTGTGGCTTGGTGGTCATGTTATTGGCTGGATGTGGCCAGCTCAATATCACTCACATCGAGACACGCATCTCCTCACCTGGCCTCTCATGACTGTGGGGATGCTGCAACAGTCGTAAGTGTGAAAAATGGTCATAAGTCACTTTTTTCAGAGCCATTGTAACTTTGAATGGTCACTCCACACAAGCAAAATACCAGCAAAGGAGGGGAAAATAACTCCAGAGATGTTTCTGAGACAGGAAGTCTAGTCCTGCCAAGAATGTAATAAGGGTTAATGGAGAGGCAGTTTCTGTAAGCAACACCAGAATGTTTCCTTTCTGCCTTCCTTACAGGATTAGGCCAAAAATTTCTTCTAACAACTGGTTCTCCGAACTGCTTAGAATGTTAACATCCGGTTCTAGCGAATAGGTGCGAACTGGTAGAATCCCACCTCTGATACAGGCATAATATAATATTACATAATAATATTTATAATAGGCAGATACATCCTTTTGAACTGAGGCTGTATATCCATATTTATACTAATAAAAAAGGTCCATTTACACTATTTTTTTCTTTGCATTACTAAATAGAGATTTCATAAGCCTCCTTGTATAAGGTTCTTGATGTTTTGCATATTTTGACAAATGTCCGGAACACCCCTACAAATTCAGTTCCTCATGATTTATTCTTGGTATTTTCTATTTGTAAAAACAGGAATAAATGAGGGTTCTGATTCAGATAATTCACCTGAGCAAACTCTGTAGGGAATTTCTGTGGTGTTTTAAAAATTCTTTATAGCCCTACAGAATAGTCTGAAGTGATAGATGTACCTACATCTAAGCAAACAAGTGCTGCTTCTTTTTAATATATGACTCGTGGTATGTAGCTAAATTTATTTTTCCCTTCCAATCAGGAGAACTTGACATTAAGATGTGCCTTCTGGGATTTCAGTAAAAATGGTATGTTTCACATTCATGTGACTTCATTTATGTTACCTAAGCTAGTTAAAAACTATATTGCTTACAATTTGATAATAGAAGAATTTTAATATTTGGCAGGTGACCAAGGCAGTTGGAATTCTGAAGGTTGTGTGGTAAAAGAAAGAACAATGAATGAAACCGTCTGTAACTGCAATCACCTGACAAGTTTTGGCATATTACTGGTAATGTTTGTTGCGGCCCTGTCAGCTGCCAGCAGAGATAGCTGCAGAGTCAGATGAGGAGGAGTGAAGGGAGAGCCTGGGCCAGCTTCAGGGTCTTTGGAAGGCTCTGATAAGGAAACAGCATCAGAGACACAGACAGAGCCGGGGCCTTCTGTCCTCCCCAAGTGGAGAGACAGCTGTTTCCGGGGCCTGAGTTGAGTGAGGGGGAGGAACAGATGGGCCTCATCCCAGATGTGCATATGTGCAGTGAGGAAAAGAGAGGAGAGCAAAGGAAAGCAGTAAGCTGGCTCTCAGGGAGAGGCAGACACAGATGATAGCCAGGCCCTCTCTGGCTGGGAAATAAATAGGAGAGGTTTCAGAGTGGTTTGTTTTCTAGTATACAGCAAGCAATTTGGATTTCTTGGGTTTGTTGGGACTAATTACCATCTACCAGAAGAAAACACATACAAACCGCTATTTACACGCACTCTCACACCACCACCCAGCACAGATCAATTCCGTAGCCGAGACACTCATCTCTAGAACAAAATGCTTAGCCGACGAACAACACCTAAAAACCGAACTACACACTCTCACTAACGTACTAACAGCCAATGGATTCCAAAGAAAGACGATTACCCACCTAATCCAAAAAGAAACCCCAACCAAAATCCAAGAGAGAGAACAAGAGAACGGCAAAGCCCTCCTCCCATATATAAAAGGCACTACAGACAAAATCAGGAAGATCCTCCAAAAACACAACATTAAAACAGCATTCTGCACAAACAGAAAAATATCCACTATCCTAAGAAACCCTAAAGACAAAATCGAATTAGAAAACCAAGGAGTATACGAAATCCCTTGCACCGCCTGCCCCACCACATACATCGGACAAACTAACAGAAGAATAAGTGTACGCATTGAAGAACACAAGAACTCAATCAAAAAAGAAGAACCGACCTCTTCCCTGGTCCAACACCTCAAAGCCACAGGACATGAGATTGACTTTAAAAATACCAGAACTATCACCAAAACCAAACACTTCAACAACAGAATAATCAGAGAAGCCATAGAGATAGAAAAACGCCCACACAGCATGAATAAACGAGTTGATACCTCCCGCCTACCAGCCATTTGGAAATCCACCCTCATTAACAAACGAGTACCTAACATGAAGAATGACACCAGACCCACACCCACGAGGGCCACACAAGATGCTACCACCACACTTCCATGTAGAAAGCGGACTCACACCCACACAGAAGATGAGACACGACCACGGACCAGAAGCCGTACCGCAGCTGCATCACTACCCGCTTCAAACCCTTCCGACCCATACATGAAGCGAACTGACACCCACCATGAAGATGTGGCATGACCACGAATGCAAAGCCAAACAACAGGATCACAGCTCACCAGCTCAAATCCCCCAGCAACTAAGACTAACCTGAGCACAACAAAGCCCCCACTTGAACAGAACACACCCCCAGCCAATCAGAACACAGCCAACCCCCCAACCAATCAGAACACAGCTAAACCCCCAACCAGTGAGAACACAACCCCACCCAATCAGAACACAGCCAAGCCCCCACCCAATCAAGTCACATCCCCACTAGCAGTTAAAAGGAAGAAGCAGTTGCAAGCTCACATTACTCTGAGAAGCACAAAGCCGAAGACACAAGCCTGAAGATGATGAATGAGACTTCATCGAAACGTCGCCTAGATACTTCCACTTTTACGCGGGAGAAAACCCGAATAACCAAAGATCCACATACAAATACCCGTGAAAACCTCAGAAAATATGTGTGTGTGTGTGTGTGTGTGTGTATGTATGTATGTATGTACAGGTGAAACTCGAAAAGTTAGAATATCGTGCAAAACTTAATTTATTTCAATAATGCAACTTAAAAGGTGAAACTAATACATGAGATAGACTCATTACATGCAAAGCAAGATAGTTCAAGCCGTGATGTGTCATAATTGAGATGATTATGGCTTACAGCTCATGAAAACCCCAAATCCACAGTCTCAGAAAATTAGAATATTGTGAAAAGGTTCAATATGCTAGGCTCAAAGTGTCCCATTCTAATCAGCTAATTAAGCCGTAACACCTGCAAAGGGTTCCTGAGCCTTTAAATGGTCTCTCAGTCAGGTTCAGTAGGAATCACAATCATGGGAAAGACAGCTGACCTGACAGTTGTGCAGAAAACCTTCATTGACAAGGAAAGCCTCAAAAGGTAATTGCAAAAGAAGTTGGATGTTCCCAAAGTGCTGTATCAAAGCACATTAATAGAAAGTTATGTGGAAGGGGAAAGTGTGGAAGAAAAAGGTGCACAAGGAGCAGGGATGACTGCAGCCTGGAGAGGATTGTCAGGAAAAGGCCATTCAAATGTGTTGGGGACCTTCACAAGGAATGGACTGAGGCTGGAGTCAGTGCATCAAGAGCCACCACACACAGACGGATCCTGGACATGGGCTTCAAATGTCGTATTCCTCTTGTCAAGCCGCTCCTGAACAACAAACGTCAGAAGCGTCTTATCTGGGCTAAAGAAAAACAGACCTGGTCTGTTGCTCAGTGGTCCAAAGTCCTCTTTTCTGATGAGAGCAACTTTTGCATCTCATTTGGAAACAAAGGACCCAGAGTCTGGAGGAGGCACACACTGCAAGATGCTTGAAGTCCAGTGTGAAGTTTCCACAGTCTGTGTTGATTTGGGGAGCCATGTTATCTGCTGGTCTTGGTCCACTGTGCTTCATTAAGTCCAGGGTCAATGCAGCCGTCTACCAGGAGATTTTGGAGCACTTCATGCTTCCTTCCGCAGACGAGCTTTATGGGGATACTGACTTCATTTTCCAGCAGGACTTGGCACCTGCCCACACTGCCAAAAGCACCAAAACCTGGTTCAATGACCGTGGGGTTACTGTGCTTGATTGACCAGCAAACTTGCCTGACCTGAACCCCATAGAGAATCTATGGGGCATTGCCAAGCGAAAGATGAGAGGCATGAGACCAAACAATTCAGAAGAGCTGAAGGCTGCTATTGAAGCATCCTGGTCTTTCATAACACCTCAGCAGTGCCACAGGCTGATAGCTTCCATGCCACACTGCATTGAGGCAGTCATTGCTGCAAAAGGGGCCCAAACCAAGTACTGAGTACATATGCATGCTTATACTTTTCAGAGGTCCGATATTGTTCTATGTACAATCCTTGTTTTATTGATTGCATGTAATATTCTAATTTTCTGAGATTGTGGATTTGGGGTTTTCATGAGCTGTAAGCCATAATCATCACAATTATGACAAATCATGGCTTGAACTATCTTGCTTTGCATGTAATGAGTCTATCTCATATATTAGTTTCACTTTTTAAGTTGCATTACTGAAATAAATGAACTTTTGCATGATATTCTAATTTTTTGAGTTTCACCTGTATATAGCATGTGTATATGTATTATGTAGGTGTTTGGGAAGATATATACTCTCGAGAGCAGGCAACAGAATTTCATTTTTAATGTGGGCCAGTGTGCTCACAGTTTAAAAAAATGACAATAAAATTATCTTATTATCATTATATTATTTGTGTGTGTTTATATAATTTATATCTCACATTTGAAACTCTAAGCAATCCAATAATTAATGGATATAGTTAATTATTAATGGATATACTTAATGTATACATGTAGTTGTGTATATTGGCAAACTGTGCTAAAATTTTAAAAAATAGATTTTAAAAAAAGTTAACAATATTTTTGTTTCTTTTTAGGATTTATCAAGAAACCCCACTATATCTCCAGTTCAAGTGCTAATTCTAACTTTCATCACCTACATCGGTTGTGGACTTTCAGCTATTTTTCTTTCTGTGACTCTTGTTACCTACATTGCATTTGAGTAAGTACTTGGCTGTGCTAAATCATATGGTAGCAATTTGTTGTAGCTTGAATAATGAAAACAGAACGACATGTTTATGATATTATAAGGCATCTTTGATTAGCCTGAAATTTTTTTTTATACATAATAGCTGAAAAGTAAAAGAAGTTTAGATTATAACCATTTTATTTAGCTAGAAAATCAAGTGTAAAAATGGAAAAATTGTATATCAAATAAGACAAACTGATTTTCCCAATTCATTTCATACTAAAAAAAACATATCCTAGGATTTTTTGTTCTAGAGTTAGTGATTCAAATGAGTGCCTTGCACAGATTTTTCTTTCATAGATTTCACATGGTTTATTGTCAAGGTTTTCCTCACCTGATACCTTTTCACCTGGAGAAAACCATGTTCCTTGTTTGTTTTTTAAAATTCTTTGGTTTCTATTTACATTTCACTAGCAAAATATTATATTTTGTTTCTGCAGTTTTCAAGTAATAATTTTGGTGCTTAAGCAATTACAGTTTTATAAGTTAGTAACTCGGCATTATTAGAAAAACATATTTACAGTTTGTCATGCAAGTTTTTAAAAAAACTAATGTAGAAAGTTGTAATTTCCAGAAGAAATTGCAACAATTCTCATGCTACTATGGTCTTATAACAGTGTTTGAAAAAGTTATGATTTTTGTTTCAGAGATTAAAACAAATATAAACATTGCCTGCATCATATTATATGTTATTAAATGTATCAAAAAAAGCTCTGAGCTTACATATCTAATTTATTTGGGTTTATAGGAAAATCCGAAGAGACTACCCATCTAAAATTCTTATCCAGCTCTGCATTGCACTGCTTCTTCTAAACCTCATTTTCCTGCTGGATTCCTGGATTGCTCTGTATGAGATCCAGAATCTGTGCATTTCTGTTGCTGCCTTTCTTCATTATTTTCTTTTGGTTTCTTTCACCTGGATGGGCCTTGAAGCCTTTCACATGTATCTTGCCCTTGTGAAAGTATTCAATACGTACGTTAGAAAATATATTCTAAAGTTCTGCATTATTGGCTGGGGTAAGTATATATGTTTTTTTCTGAATTTATATTTGTAAAGACTACTGTGTACTTTTATTTATTCCAGCGGGCAAGGACTATCAGTATAGAGAAGTTTTGGGCAGTTAAGTTTCATGAAGACTAGCTTCAGCCTCATGGATTTTATTGGGTCTGTTTTATGCATCACTATATTGTATGTATACTGTTGATTTTAACAGATTCATGAACACTTTTGGTTTTGAGACACATTATTAACAAGTCACTTTACCTCCCAGTTTATTTTATCACCCAATGCAAAGTGCAGAAAATACATATATATCATAATAACATTTAACAGCTTATAATACTAGCATTGTTACACATTAAATAATTTATATAAAAACTCATGGTATTTCTTATGCTTCCTACTTTGAAAAGGCTAAATTTATACCATTTATTTTAGGTAAAATAAGTGAACATTCATATTAGCTTCCCATCACATTTTTGAGTTTTCAAATTTTATCTGCTGCAATTTGTGTTTGTTACATTTAAGAGTGTTACTTCTATACAGGAGAGATTTGTAGGTCAAACCAAGCTATTGGAAGGGTTCTCTATCCTAGGTAATAGTCATGTAAAGGTCCAGCAAATAAACTACTCTTAATAGACATCAATTTAGATGTCTTAAAAAGAAGTTCTTTTTAATACTCAAAGGAAATTTTTAATTAGTTCCTAAATATGATTCAAATGGAGGGATATTTGTATATTACTAGCTAGTGTGCACTTTTGGAATAAGACCCATATAAGTAACAGCTACAATTATCTCTTGTTGTAGATGTCAAAACATCATCCTACCTATAAAGCATTCAGATTTATAGGATAGATTGAGACAGTGAAATGAAATGCTCTGAACTTTTGAAACCCACCGGGAAAAATCTTTTCTGTTTCTTGAAAATCCAATATTTTATTCTTGTTTGTTGGTTCAAATTTATTACAGCTAAATTTTTCTCAAAGTGTTGTTTGATCTTTCAGGATTACCAGCTATAGTAGTAACCATTGTACTAGCAATATCTCCATATAACTATGGGCTTGGATCATATGGAAAATTTCCCAATGGTTCATCTGATGAATTGTAAGTAAAACTTAGGCAATAATCTAAAACATCTAAAAGAAATCTGTTTCTTTTCTTATCTTTTAAATTTCTGTGCAGAAATGTATTGCTTTCAACTGGCAGAATTCCCCAGCAAGCTTGCTGCTATGTAGCGACTCTCCATAGTCATTCTAGAAATATTTCCGAAACTTTCAGACTTGGTCTGGGAACACCATATTATTGTTGTTGCTACAGCTGTTGCAAAAAGAATGAACAGAGACAACAAGCAATCTTCCAATGAGCAATAATGGAGGAACAAACTTGACCTCAGCACCCCTGCCTGTCCCTTCCTTGACTTTCACTGTATTTATTTTTTGCAGTGAAAACATGAAAAAATAGTACATGCTGTTAGCTACAAAACTACTTAGAAGCGCCCCGTGGGGACATTGTGATCCTGGGAAGGGAAAAGATCAGGGAAGCAGAGACAGATGGAACTTTCCATCAATGGAAAATTGGCTCCTCAAGACTACCAAAGCTCCAGTATCACAAATTGTAAAATGAGGGTTTTATTGTTTGAGCTGTACCCCAACTGATCTGGAGTAAAATGATCAGCTATCCAACAGCAACAGTGGCTTCTTGCTAAGTTACCAATCTAAGGACAAAACCAACAGTCACAAAGTTCCCTCTATGGTATTATCAACAATAAATAAAAAACACAATATAGTAATAACTCCTCTATCACATATGTGTATAAAAATAAAAAGATAAAATTTAAATAAGGCTTACCTTGGATATTAAAAAAGGGTTTATTGTAGATATGATTAATAAGTTACAATAATGGATCAAATTGAACATTAAATCAGGTAACAGTCTGATTAAGCTAGATATTATATCTTTAAGGAATGCATATTGTCTACTTATTAATTTCAGTTAATGGGTCTAGTTAGCTGACTTGCTGGATCTAAATTTTGGCCTCTTGGTTTTAAAATATGTATATCTAATTGATGTATACCTTATTTTTTGTATTTTAGCTGCTGGATTAAGAATGACATTGTATTTTACATCACAGTTGTGGGATACTTCTGTACAATATTCTTGCTCAACATCAGTATGTTCATAGTAGTACTGATTCAGCTTTGTAGAATCAAAAAGAAGAAGCAGCTTGGTGCCCAGAGGAAAACTAGCATACAAGATCTCAGGAGTGTTGCTGGCCTTACATTCTTATTGGGAATTACTTGGGGATTTGCCTTTTTTGCATGGGGTCCTGTAAATCTTATTTTTATGTATCTCTTTGCGATTTTTAATACTTTGCAAGGTAGGTGATTTAAGTACCTCACAATAGACTGACCTTGTTTAACTGTACAAAAATGAATTATTTCATCCTATTCCACTATTTTGCTTTATCATCATATAAAATAATTGATCCAATCTATTCTGTATAAGTTTTAAATGGCATTATTGTTATATTTAAATAAATCCCCTTGAAAACACATAAATTACATAAGCCAAGCACTGCTTAGTAGTATTGATGTTATAACTAAGGCATTGTTAAAAAGCAAGAAGCTGTGACAGTAAAGCTATGTTATTTTGTTACATTGCAAACACTGTCAAAACTGTTCATAAATATGAAAATGGCTATCTCTGAGGAAGAGTTGAAAAAGTCAGTGTGGTAATCACCAGCACAAAATCAAAACCCCATCCCTTTGTACATATGCCTGAAGTCAAAACTTGTATAAAAGGGCTGAGATGTTGATTGTGCAGACCCTGCTGCCACTTTTACTTTTTTGACACTTCCTTCTGCAGACACCCACCCCCACCCCGATTATGAAATATGTATATTTAGAATTAGCAGATGAATGAAACTCCTCTCAGGTTTAAAATGCCAAAGAGAATCTGAAGCACCTAAGGCAATGTTTCTTAAAAGGGTAGTCTTGGAAACCCTGGAGGCTCTCAATACCCTCTCAGGGATCTGAAAAATCAAAGTTATTTGCCAGCTTATGTTGAAAAATAATATATAATTAAAATCCCATCAAACAATTGTGAGAAGTGGTAACAGCAAATGCATCAATTTTAACTTTTAATATGTTAAATATTAGTAAATATAAGCTGCAAAAATTAAAGCTCTTTTGGGGTCCTCTATAATTTTAAAAATGAAAAGGGATCCAGAAAGAAAAAGCTTTAAGAAACACCTTATGAAATGTTTAAAAAAGGAATTGAAAGACTATTTCCATTTTCTCTAGTAACAGCCAAAATCATACACAAAGTCCTCAATTAGTGACCAGAACTGTGACTGGAACTCAGTTGTTAAGTAAAGCAATCACTATATGAAACCAGTTGAGTTTATGATGCTAATTCAGCTTTCCTTTGCTTTACAGCAAAGTCCCTAGTATATGAAATAGGTCACAAAGTTACTTTTTCATCACTGTTGTAATCAGGGGTGGGATTCAATTTTTTTAACAACCGGTTCTGTGGGCGTGGCTAAGTTGGTGGGCATGGCTTGGTGGTCATGTTATTGGCTGGGCGTGGCCAACTCTATTACTCACATCGAGACACACATCTTCTCACCTGGCCTCTCATGACTGTGGGGATGCTACAACAGTCGTAAGTGTGAAAAATGGTCATAACTCACTTTTTTCAGAGCCATTGTAACTTTGAATGGTCACTCCACACAAGCAAAGTACCAGCAAAGGAGGGGAAAATAACTCCAGAGATGTTCCTGAGACAGGAAGTCTAGTCCTGCCAAGAATGTAATAGGGTTAACAGAGAGGCAGTTTCTGTAAGCAACACCAGAACGTTTCCTTCCCGCCTTCCTTACAGGATTAGGCCAGTAATTTCTTCTAACAACTGGTTCTCCAAACTGTTTAGAATTTTAACAACTGGTTCTAGCGAATAGGTGCGAACTGGTAGAATCCCACCTCTGGTTGTAACTATGAACAGTTGCTAGAGCCAGTCATTAAATGAAGACTATGTGCATTCCTTCTGTTCTATGAACTGCAGAGGATATGAATTTTACCTGCATTTTGATTTTTTGGCATGCACGTATAGGCATGTAAACTGGTACCACAAGACTTTTGCAACATTGCATACATGGTAGGTATCAGTTTTTCTGGTGGCTGTGTTGTGCAAAATTGCCCTCACATAGCAGATTTTTAAAAGGTAAAATAAATTCTGAAAAAAATGGGGTTGTAATTGTATCTATTTACTTAAAATAAAATGTCATAACTTCCTTTAAACATTATTTTGCAGGGTTTTTCATTTTTGTTTTTTACTGTATTGCAAAGGAGAATGTTCGCAAACAATGGAGAAGGTATTTGTGTTGTGGCAAATACCGGCTGGCTGAGAATTCAGGTAAATATTAAAAAGCTATTGTTTGTATTTAGTTATGCAGTTTACAGGCATAATGATTTGAAGTTCCGTTACTTGAATATAAAACTGTTTTATTTTTGTTGAAACTTCAGCCCACTATGTCTTTCCATGACCCCATCTGGTTCTAATTCAGAGACTACCCCCTAAAAAAAAAACCTTTCCCAAATTGATTTCAGCCAGTATAGCTGGAAGCCAGGGCCAGAAATGGGGGTAATGGAAGGCAAGAGGTGAGGAGCATTGTATAAATGTTTTTTTATTGATTCGCCTACTGACTTTATATTTTTCTCAAATAAAAGTGTCAATTGAAGTCAGATTAATTTGTTCTATAATGTATTGTTTGTTGTTGAAGAAAATGATGCAGTTTTTAGTTTTCATGATTGTAGAAACCCTTATACATTTTTTCCCTCAGCTTTATGATGGCATGGAGAATTACAGAAAAACCCAACATTTCTCTCCTCAGGTCAAAATGCTGTAGCAGCAAGGCAGAAATGAGGGTAGAAAACTAGTTGGGTCTCTCTGCTCTCTTCCAGAGCCATTTTATTTTCTTATTACAAATTATGGGAGGAAAAATAGATCAGCCAAGTAGCTTGTCTGCACTTTGATTTGGATTGTAGGCAGGATGGAGTAAGATAATTTTTTGTATGACATATTGTGTTTGGGACTTTATGCATTTCAGATTTCACAACCTCAAAAAAAGCTACCTTAAAAACTGGGAGGGAAACACAACTAATCTGATTCTTCCTGAACAAAGATGCCAGGGGAAGTAAACAGGACAAATGATGAATTGTGTCATGATACAAAAAAAGCATAAATACTTGCATTGGATGGGGTGGAGTTTGTGCCATAACATTACTACATGCATATTAACATTATGATGCAGTTTTGGTTTGCTGGGATGCTTATGCTGGAAAGGGAGCAAGAGGGTCAGGACTGATTAAAGATGCCGCCCCTTTTCTGTATAACATATATATGCCACACACAAAAGGGGAGTTTGTGCCATGATAGGATAACCCTGCTTTTGTCATTCTGTCAAAAGTAGGATAATCCTGTGGACCCTACTAGGAATCTTTAAATTAGATACAACCTTCAATGTATTACTATGACTTTAATATATAACACATTATTCTGTAATCTTTTTTATTATAGACTGGAGCAGAACTGCTACTAATGGCTTAAGGAAGCAGAATATTAATCAAGGTGTATCCAATTCTTCACATTCTTTACAATCTAACAATAACTCTACTAATTCTACATCGATGCTAATGAGCAGTGATTATTCTGTGCACTCAAATGGCAATGGTATGTATGTTAAAGTATTCTTTATAAGCAACAATATGTTTAATGTAGTACAAAATAAGGTAGATTAAAGAAGGGTCAATTGTTATGTGATAGGACCAGATTAAAGTCCTTGTAAGGCCAAACCATTTCTATTTTGTAGAATGCATTTTTGTAAGTGTATTAAATTTTATGGATAATTTAAAAAATATATAAAACAACTATATCATTGTGATATCTTCACCAAAACACATTATGGTATCTTGGCCACCACTATGTACTGCTACAATATTTAGCATGGTTAATAAGGTAAGACAGTATTTTGAATTTGAATTTGAAAGCAGCAAGACTGTTTGAAACCAGCAAGACTGTTTGTAACACCTGCCTCCAACTCCTTAATCCAAATGCATGTTTCCTTGGAATATGCACTGGAAAGAGGCAATTACTTTAAAGCAAGGGTCTTCAAACTTGGCAAGTTTAAGACTTGTGGACTTCAACTCCCAGAATTCCTGAGCTAACATGA